AAAAGTTCATTAACAGAGGCGTTCATAACCCGAGGTACCACTGTACTATACATTTAAATTGTTGAGATATAATTTTTAAGTATTGTTTGATGATATGCTTCAGGAAATCTCAATAGCTGTAAAGGAATTGAGAGCTGACTTTGGGGAAGGTATAAAACAACATTGAGGAGGGACTTGGACAAGGTACCTACCTTTAAGGTAGGCCAGGTCAAGAAATAGGCGCTGCAAGGATTCCAGAAATGCTACTTGACTGTTGTAGGATATACCACCAGAATATTGAAAACCTGCCTAAGTTTCTCTCTGTCCCATTTTATACCAAACAAAATCAAAGGGGGATTATTTTGAGTTTCTATCTCACAGTTCCTTCAATCTGTAATCTCTTGTCCAAGACCTCTTCAACAGCTTTCATACCTTCTCCAAGGTCATATCTAAATTCCTTTAAAATAGCATTGTGAACTGTTATACTAATGACTTAACTAAAACAACCAGGTACAAGTGGATGATTGAATATAGAGCAATTGCTCACATCATGTGAATCATTCAGGCTTCAGTTCAGTTACTTTTAGTATATTGTAATGATTTTCAGAAAGAAACCTAGTATACTGATGACAGAGGGTACAAATATGAATAAAAGCTTTAGAGTCAGGCATAAACCCAAGTCACCAGGTAATGAGTTGTCTTTGCCATTCTTTAAGATTTTGTCATTCTGCATACTGAAATGCAGTCCTTTAATATAACTTTGGGCAAGCAAAACAATACAGCAAAATAAGATGTACTGCTAACAGAACAGGGCCAGGTGTTGATTTCAGACCAGCCTGTTGTTGTTATTAACTTGTTCTTTAGTAATGCAAGGAGAGCCATGCAAAGTATTTCAAAGAAGTGCTCTGCAAAGTGTGTTAACATGAACAAAGCACCTCTCTTTGAAATGTTAAAGTAGCCACATCCTTTGCAACTCTCATTCAGTTGCTTTAAAAGCTATCCTTAGTTGCTTATGAACAGAAACAGTACATTTCTATCAAGGAAAATATATGACCTATCTCCTTACAAAGATTCTGAAGAAGGCACAACTTTGCTGCTGTTTCCTGAAAAAAATGAAGCGTGAAACGAACAACTATTTCCTCTTTCCTCCAAATATAAGAAAGGGATGTGTATTTTTCTTCCCTTCCCCTCAATTTACATGAAGACATTCATGATGCTTTTTACAAGAGTCCAAAACATTTTTCATTTCCTCCCAAGAAGACATAATATGAAAAGAGAGACAGTTTTAAAATAAGCAAGAGTGTTCATGGAAGCACAACAGGGTGTTAAGAGATGAGGGAGGAATTCTTATGACTGGCAAGAAGGCAAACAGTTTTATTAAACCTTAAGTATCTGAACACTTCTACCAGAAAAATTGTGACTATTTAAAAGCAACAAAGAACTACTTCTGGGGAAAAAAGATATTCATTTTTGTAATACATTCAAGGTACCTAAATCAAAATAGGTATCTTTCTCATTAAATTGTATACTTTCTTGCCATTTGAGTTTTCAAAATATTGTAGAAAATATATGAACTTTTCATGAAAGTTTTTCCAACAAAATTCCAATTTTGTGTACCCAAGCTCTAAAAAATGCAAGGACTACAGGGTCTAAAAAAAACAAAAACCTAGCAAGTATGAATTTTGTAATTTAGTCTATTCTCATACATTTTTCCTACAAAATCTTTAAGAGAAAGATTAGTAAATAGCTAAAAACATTATGTATCTGTTCAGTATTGTTCTAAGTAAACATGATATAAAAATAGAAAAAGGAAACGAGGGGAGCATAAGTCAGAAAGCAGTAATGAACAGTATTAAGTCAAATATCCATAACCTGATGAAGTATAAGAGTGATGAAAGTGGGAAGTGGGCTCCAAACAAGAAACTTTAATGACTATGCAGGTCAAGGAGAAATGAAAGTTTCACATGCAAGGCCAGATGAATGTCTTAAGATCTCAACATGAATAGAAAGACAGATGTCTGATTGGAAGCTCTACTACTTAATTTTAAGTATTGCACCAGGGAGCCAAATAATAGAGAAGGAACGTTATATAAAGCATACTGATCAGTTCAATAAGCTCTCCCTATATAATAAATTCTATGGTTATTTATTTTGGGAGAGATAGAACTGAAGACTTTCTATTTCAGGTATAAATAGTTTTAGTAGCAACTCCTTATAGTTTAAATATTTCCAGACTAACAACAAGTTCTGTTCTGTATCAAAAATAACTTTAAGATCCTAGCATACCTACAGTCTCACAATGCCTGCAAGTTAAAATACAAATTTCAGAGCTTAAAATACACTATTAAATTAGCTTTACAATAACTGCATTGTTTGCTATAACGAAGGCCATCTTATTTTTGCTTATAATGTGCCCTTAAAAAAAAAGTTCTTCCAAATCAACCTTTTTTTACTTTTACTAAGCAGCTGTTAATTTTAGAAAGGAAAAACAAATATTTTTCATTTATTGTAACTTTAATATGAACAAGCCCTTAACCTATGACATGCAATGAAGCAGCATATTAGGCACTGTATTATATTCTATAGAGGATCAAAAAAAAGTTTAACAAAATATTTAAGCAAAATTTATGAAAGAAATAAAGGTAATTATTTTTAAATAAGCATTTGAATATTCAAAGTTTATGTAAGGTAACTTTGATCAGCATGCTTTTTATTAAATCATATAGTATATAATAGTTACATTAGACAAAGTTCTAAACTTTTCTAGTGCAAAGTGGAGAGAAAAACCTAGTCAGCATAAGAACAAAACATTCTACATTCCTTCCCCCACCCTAGCTATCTTCAATGCAGTGACTGTTCTCAGAAAAACAGCATTACTTCCAAGCCTGAAAAATTCTATTGCTGTTACAGTCTTTTTAATTAGTTTAACAGATTTTAATAGATACCATGCAGTTCAAAGTATCTGAATTAATTCCTTTACAAACATTTGTATTTCAAGCAGCAGCATTACTTGGGTGAATTGCTGACAAAGAATGACACAGCATGATACCAGCATAAGCATTTTAATATGATGTCATAATCTGGCAAAATAATTTAAATATTCATAAGCATTATAATTTTTAATACCCCAAATAAACAATTAGGAATGCATGAACAAGTTTATTCTCCTTAAATATCATAATTATATTACTGCAGGGAAATAGTTTATAGCAGTGCATACTTTCAAAACCATAGTTAGCTTTTAAAAGTTATCATACAATCCTTTAAGTCAACTTACCTATGCAGTAGAACTTTGTAAGCCATTTTCATTAGTTTCCCTATTCCAAATGAACATTTCATATAAAAACACTTCATTGGAAAAACTAAACAGAATGGCAGTCTCTGCTGACTATTTATTCTGCTTGCTTAATTTAAATAGCTGCCTCTAAGATAGCACTGAAGTACTGCACTAAGTCCTGCAGTCTACATAGAAAAGACTGCAACATGAGGTCACTACTGACAGCTGCCCAATCAACATTTTAGTTCTAATAGGCTTTTCATCCTACAACTTCTCAATACAACTCCTTTTCAATTTAAATCATCACAGAAATATATGAAATATATAAACCCACTGAATGGTTTATTCTAATTTCAATTATTCTATATCATAGTTTATATGAGCCCTTAATGCAGTCAAAAAAATGGGAGAGTCAGTTCAAACTGCAATAAGACTGGTTTATCCAGCTGTGAAAGTCAGTAATAATCAACAGAAATGAGCCCAGGCTTTCTAGCTTTTGGTGTTATTCAGTATTAGTTAAATGTAGAGAATCTTAATAAGTAAGAGACAATAAATGCACCTTGAATTTCCTTTCCAATTCTCTATAATGTTTTTTATTATTCATCACAAGATATTAATTAATCCTACAATTTATGAACACACAACTATCCAACCTATGAAACAGAGCTGAATGATATTGAAGAAGTTAATAGCATCAACATCTAAAAGTAAATGCAAAGCAGACATACGAGTCTCAAAGATTATCTAGAAAATTTGACTTCAGTATATAACAGACTGGCAATGCAGTCTCTACAGACATATTGCTCACTATCTCTGGATATCCACTGACCCCTCAATTAAAAATTATATGATTGTGTCCAATGTATGAAAAGGTTAACTCCTGAATTAGTCACTGTGTATGTTTATAACAGAAAATGAATACTGTTTTATAATGTACTTTTAACGCTTACTGTCTACCAAGACTTATGAACATGGGCAATCATGACACAGAACTGAATCAGAAATAATTATTAAAATATAGTTGGGCATCAACCTCTATGTAGTCTCTTTCATCTTTTTACATGTTATAATTTCCTAGTTTCTTGGTTTATAACGAACTAGTCAGCTGCTATATTCAAAGCATGCAGGCTCTAATAAATGAAAAAAAATATTTGCCTACATTAAAGTATTAAACACAACAATTTTAAATGGGGTTCTACTACTAACTTCTCTTGATTTAAAGGCATTCTGGCCATTTAGGGATACAGGTAGTCCTTGCTTAATGACCTTTCATTTAACGATTGTCTGGAGTTACAATGGCCTTGGGAAAAGTGCTTTACAACCCTCATGGTCACATGATTGCAATTTGCAACCTTTTTTATGATGATTGTTAAGCGAATCACCATGGCTGTTAAGTGAATTGTGACCAAAAAAATCCATTGGAGAAGCTGGATTTGCTTAAAAACCATGAGATTCGCTTAATGACCATGGTGATTTACTTAACAACCATTGTTAAAACGGTCATAAAATCCGCTCCAGTTCACTTAACAACCAAATCACTTAGCGACCTAAATTCTGCTCCCTATTGTGGTTGGATAGCAAGAACTACCTGTATAGTAGGAACCAATGAGGCATTAAGAAACGATATGGTATTACAGAAAACTGGGAGTTACATTTTTCCTACTAAGAGACCATGTAACTTTACTGAATAGTAGAAAACCAGGAGGAGATCAATTACTGGGATATTATTCTGATCTCATCTAACATTCTGCATATTTCCCCTCTTTCATTAACATATATATGTTAATATTATTGATCACAATGTTTATATATTGACTCAAGCATGGTATTCAAGGGCACAAATTTGGAGTCACTGCAGGAATTGGAATGCCCACCCCAATGCTCCCCTAAAGCAAGCTTGCAGATACCCATGACTCCAGTATCAATTACAATATGTCCCCCAGCATCAGATATGACAAAAGCCAAGTAGAGTAATAATGCTACACTTACACCTTGCAGTTTTTCCTCAGGGATCAGACTAACCACAATGGGAACAGAAAACTCATTTTTCATTCTTATGAAGTTTCTATTACATACACAATGTAGCCAACAAACCAGGACTTAACTCCATGTATTTTTCTATTAAATTCTTTATATTAGAAATGTAACAGATTTCAGCTCAGCAAAATATAGATTACACTTCAGATGAAGTTGGGCATTGTTAACTTAAACTTGAGAGAGTCGAACAAATTGTTTCAAGCATAAATTAACAGTTAAGTTTTGGATCATACCCACTGAATTCTTGAATGAAACAATAAAAACATGAAAATATTACTTCATTGGATTGGGAACTGTTATATGAAGCATTAATATCCTGAAATTATGCCATGAATCCAGAACTTAAAATGTTAACCAAGCCTGGGTAATGTAGTTTCAGAGAAGCACTCTGGTCTAGATGAAAGAAACTCAGATCTGAGATCACTGTGTCAGCTTGACCAGATTACTGTTTCTCAGTCTGACTTCTGTGACAGGATGGTTGAAAAGTTATTTCCAAAATTTTGTATAACTGAAATCCAAAAATCCAACATTAAAAACAGAATCATCTATATTAATGAAATATACTGCACAGCGTATTGCCTAGTAATACCATCCTTAGTATCCTTGCTGATACCTTGTTGATGCTGAAACACTACATGATTCCAGAATGCTCTCCATCATATCTTGAGGCTCTGTATCTTCCCTATATTTCGGATCCTCTGTGTTTTCTTCCTCTTCCTCTTCCTCTGGCAGTTCTTCAGACTGCTCAAGCTTTATATCATCTTCATCCAACAAATCATTTATCTTTAAAAAACAAACAAAAACAAGAAACATCAAGACCCCATTTTTTCAGATAAAACAAATTATTAAATTCCAATTGTTGAGGCAAAGTATATGCTAAAAATAAAACAGATAAAACTTTATAGATACTTATGCTTTAGATCTCACCTCAGCAAAGAAAACATGTATCAATGAACCGCTGAACTCATAGCCAGGCGTAATGCATTGACATTCAACTTTAAGCCAATACACAAGAGGAAAAACAAAGACTTCCATTTCTTGAAGAAAGCCACAAGATTTTTAAAGGATTTAATGTGGACCTTCTTTAAGCAAAGCACATGTAGTATCATGAAGAGTAGCAGAGTTCCCTAGCTTTATAATACTGAAGTTACTTCTCTCCTTATTCCTGAAAGCAATTCAATGAAATCTTTAACAGTCCATAGATGCAATGGACTAAATTTGTGTTCAGAATTCATCACCAAAATAATGGGCAAGTCAGTTATTTCCAAAGTCTACCTGGACAGAGACTGATTCTGTGCATATGAATTTTTCCTTGCTTCATATTAGCCTTTGTGCTTACTTTCCCAGCAGGAGACAGAGATGTTAAATAATAACATCAAATGAACTGGTTTGTATAGCTATTTTTCACAATGTACTTATAGAGAAAGAATAAACTACACATAACTATAGCATGCTATAATTATTACTGCCAGATGAGTAAGCTGAACAAAAATAGTTTATTATGCTTTAGATCTCACCTCAGCAAAGAAAACATGTATCAATGAACCCCTGAACGAAGCCAGGCTATGTCTGTCAAACTATGATTTTGTCTCAGTTTAAATACCACCACTTTAAATAATGGCATTGCACATTAATGGCTACGTTTGAACATCATTCTATACTATGTTTTAGAAAGTCCATCACACTTTCCCTCCCTTATACAACAAAGAGAAGAGGCAGATATGGGAGTACAGTGACAATGCTAGACTTGTTCATGTCTCTTTAAAATACAGCGTAGCATCCTGTCTGAATGTTTTCAGTTACGATTCCCCCATGAGAACTGGTTTTGTTTCCTGAGTACAGTAGCCAGTAAGAAAACATCTGCAAACAGGACATCTAGTATACATCACTTTAGAACTTTCATTTGAACTATTCTCTGGAGAATATAAGAAATAACAGGGTTCTATTACAACCCAGCTCTTCCAAAAATCCTCTTGATATGGAAGAAAAAAAAAGTTAGGAAAACAAATGAAGCCTAATTAGTAAACTAAAGTAGAATTTCTAGACACATCCCACAGTATACTGTACAGCGAAACATTTCTATTTTTACACATAACAAATATTTTATTTAGCCAAAAATATATTCGTTTCTTACCTGCTCAGTTACTGAACTTAAATCATTAGATGAGAAATCTTCCTCTTCATTTTCAAAGAGTTCATCATAATTCTCTAGCAGTCCTGCCATTATTCTGCTAACAAGTTCTTGCTCTTTCAGATCCTCCACATCTGTGTAAATGCTTTAAAAATGTCCAAAACTAAATTCATGATTTTTAACATTATTTTATCAAATGTTGTTAATATTTTCTATCCCAGGGATATCAGAGTTAGAGATCTTAAAAGATAAAGCTTGTACAACACACTTTCCTCCCTAAAACTAGAGAATCTTCTAGAGGGCCATCAACAAGAGATTACCATTTTTGGTTTATCTAGCAATGTTGGGCCACTGCTTGAATTACCCCATTCAATTTTGCATTTCTCAGATTGGGAGGAATGAGGTCTATTTATCACACTAATCAGAAAATGATTTGCTACTACATTCTGAACATCTAATGAAATTGTGGAATTACATTTGAAGGAATGAGTGATGGACAGATCCAATATTTATAGAGAAATTAAGTTTCGTTAATTTAATAAAAAAAACCTTCTTACACTATTATACATCTTATTAATAGAAAATCAAAATATAAGGAGCATAGAATTTTAACATAATAATATTTAATAGAATTTGCTGAATGAACAGAGATAAAAAGGGTAAATAAATTACTTGTTAGATTACAGGAGAAATTACCTAAATACACTTTTACTCTAAAGTCTCATTAGGGAAAGGGAACAATATCTTACTGAAAGATATCAGGACCAAAAACTGCAGCCAATGAACTTGCAGACCAAATCTCTTCATGATGTGATGCTACATTAGCTAAAAATCTACACAGAAACTTTAATAAACTGTAATTCACAGGCGGAAGCTGTTGCAAGAGGAATCTCAATTTTCTTCCAAATTCATCTTCATTATAATCTGTAAAGTATGATAGAATTTTCAATAAATTTTAATGCACTGTTCCACATTTGATAAATTTCAGTTCCAATACCAATATGAAGTTTCATATAGAAAAATTCCATTTTAAAAATAAATTTTACAGCCTAAAAAACTTTCCAGTAATTAAACACACTTTTCACCTCATTTTGTGCTCCTGATTCAATTTATCATTTCAGCAATCTTTCCTACCATCTCTACTTTGCTATAGAACTGTTAGTTTTATGTTACAGTATCTTTACCTTTGTCAGATGGAATTAAATTATCTAAAGTAATAGATATGTAAACAAAATATATTTTTAACATTGAATTAAAAATTCCCCATCCTCTACCTAGTTTTGCAATCATTTTGTACACAGAATTAACAATCTGAAGTTGCCATTACATTAATACAGTTTATTATATTTTAATTTAAAATATTTTTTATGTCTGCTTAATAGGCTTTCCAGCTTGCTGACAGAAAATACGACTGCATTCTTCATAATCATATTAACCAAAACCAAAACACCAGAATCAGAAAGCACAGATATCAAGACTATTAAGTTAATCCTTTCTTTTGGAGAATACATACTACAAGCATATCAGATCGGCTTTGAAATAGGTATTATTAGGCTGAAAAGGAGAAACTAAACAAAATGTTGGATAAAAAGGTCTGTATTTAAATATAGTACATGCAACAATCTACATGCTATATTCTGATTCTGCTTATTTACAGTGGGTCAGAGAACTCATGCACACTGCTCAGTTGTTCAAGTTTAGCTCCTTCTTTATCACAACCCTAGTTATGCAAGTCTGTGCAAATCTTTCAGAGATGCTTTTTGAAAGGCAGTTCTCAATGTTAGGGCACCTAGTTAGGGCTCAATGAAGCTGCTTTAAGACCTTTTCCCAGTTATCTGAACACCCAAGTATAGGCACACAACAGAAATCTGCCAGAATTGTTGCTAAAACAAATGCTCAGAAGACCTAGAAAGAAGTTTGAAATGACTGCACCAACCCTTTAAAACAGTTGCCTTGACATCGCTGAACAGCAGGTTCACAAGAGCACACTGCTTGCTTTGCTCCAATTTTCAGACCTATATCTATGTACCAAGATCTGACAGTTGCCTCTGAATCTATTTTGATTTATTATCAATATTATTTTAAGAAAAAAATAGACTAGTTTATTTAGAAATTGATTGCCAAACAATAAAAGGAACTAAAACATACAGGGGCATACATTAGGAATATTTTTCTATTAATTATAGAACAGAGTTTAAGAATGATTCTGACCCTAACTAAAGAAATACAAAATATTAGCTGAAGGTGCACAACGTTCAAAATATCTAAATTTATTTGTGGTCTTATATGTGTTCAAATGTTCATATAATGCAGGTATCAGTTAAACTGGCAAGAAATAAAATGCAAGGATATTTTCTCACACATGGACTTAATTCAGTCCACCCAACACATATTCTTTGAAAGGTCAACTGACCAGCTTTTACGTTAGATTGTTTTCAAATTTCTGGTGAGAAAAGGGATCACATAAAAATAAATATATCAGGATCTATTAACATAATTTCATTTTTATTTTTTTTTGCTTTTGGTTTTCCACATAGGGCCATAGCCTATCTCTACATATCTAGTGAATATAAAATTAACAGAGCTCCAAACCACATAAAACCCAATCATCAATATCATATAGTATGCATTTGTGTGTGTGAAGAGGTAGATAGGTATTAAGCTGTGACCCTAATAAATATTCTGTTTACATAAGAATTATTGAATGGGCCTAGAAGGGCGAGAAGTGCATGTTAGTAGGCTAGTTCTATTCCTATTACTTATAGCTTGTATTTTTATCAATATCAAACCAAGGTTCCCAATGATCTTGATACACATTTGGAATGTTACAGAGGAAAAATATTTCAGGCATTTTAAATTTCTAGACTAAACATTTCTTAACAGTTTTTTGTCATATATTGAAGTCATTCAATATCTAACCTTGAGGCAGTTGTATCAAATGCATATGAAGAGTGCCAGGAATAACTGGTTCTGGAAGTGCTTGAAGAAAAAATCTAAGAAGACTAATAGCAGAAGGTACATCTGCTTCTTTAACCAGGTCCACATCTTCTCCATTATCATATCTTTGCCGAAGCCACTCCACTGTTTCTGCATTCCCATTGACTTGAAAAAGTCCTTCTTGTTCTAGACCTCCTTCAGTTAGGATGAAAAAAAAAAATACTTCCTTTAAAATGAAAATACGTTCATTTCTTGACCTATGAATGTCACAAACAAAAACAGGCAAGAAAGATGACCCTAGCCAATGCTGCTACCCAAAGAAACATTTATAAACATCAACAAAAATATTGCAGCAGTGCGCAAAACATTTACCATTTAAACTGTTTCAACAATGAAACTCCACAAAACTTCCCATTTCAAGTTGAACTACTCTTTTTAATGGAAAATAGGCTGAAGAGTGTTTAGAAGTTGTGAAGTGGAAGATTACATGCTCAAAAGAGCTTGTTTCTTGATTGGAATACTGTTTAAATGCCGCTTACATCTGTTTTGTGCTCAAAATAGGATGTTTAGGGCATTTATTAAAGTTTCACACTTAAAACAGTTAAAATCAAAAATTTTACACACACTTAAACATAAATATACTAAAGTTTCTCCCATGAGATTTTACTTGTGCACTGGAACTTTCTCTTGTGCTTTCCTCCAAATCTGCTCCAGAATGTCCTCAACCCATAAGAGAAGATTTAGTGAGTATATGGAATGGGAGGGATAGGAATAAAATGTGTTCCACTACAAATGTTTCTTAGACTATAGGAGTGATACAGAAGACAGTAGAATGCCATTCATTTTTATAAAGTGTAGAAGAGAACTGTATTCATAACTTCCTGAGAAGAATAAGTGAAAAGTATTTATATTTTCAAGTGTTTAATTTTATCATTAAGGCACAGGATGAAAATACATACCATGTTCCTCAATATAGTCCACAACATGGCGGACTATGAATGGAACTTCACTGCCTGGTTGCCCTTCCTGTTGCAGTTCATCAAGTGGAATTCCAAATATTTTATTAGTGAGAACAGAGTTGCAATTACTCAAAGAAGGGGAGGAGCTCTTCCTCATATCTTTATGCAGCCCAATGTCAAAGTGTCTTTCTGAAAATAAATTAGTTGTAGATTTAACTCCTTCAACGTAATGCACTGTTTCCCACAGACATTTATTACTTGAAAAAGGATTAGAACTGTCTCTAGTAATAAACACCACCTCAAAGTGATGACTTCGTTAGATGCTGGCTGCCAGGCAAATTTACACTAGAAGCTGGGGAACTCAGAATCAATACCAAAGTTTGGCTAGTTATTTTATTTGCCTGGATAAGGCTTAACCTGGCTTGACCTAGGATTCTTTCATTAATAATTCTTGACAATTACAAATCAAAGTGGTAGAAGGTTATTATGAGTAACTGTTTTCCTGTGACTGTTCCTTAACCTTCTATCACTCTTTAGGATTGATAGGCCAAAGAAGTTCTGAAACAGTGGACTTCAGACACATCTCAAAATTTAAGTCAAGTCTCAACTATGTATCAATCTCTCAGAGAATCCCAGAAATGGTTTCCAGAAGATTCTTATACTGCCTATTCTAATAACATCTACCTGATTGATTTGAATTATATGAATTTTAAAGATTTTAAAGATCTAAGTACATAGGTTCCTTTATTATATTCACATATCATATGAATTTTGATTAATTCGTGCTTTTATTGACTGTATTTTACTTTGTATTCCAGTCTAAAACCACAAAAGTATTGTATACTAGATATACTTAGATCTCTAAATAAGAATGGTAGAATTAACACAAACTCAATATAAATTTATTACAATGTTACAAACAAGGAGCCCAGTGGAATTCTAAATTATTCCATCTGTGTGGTGCAATCATTTTTATGATAAGCCCAAATAAATTTTAATACTATATTAAATAATACATTACAAAAATATATTTTTCATGTACTATGTACTTTCTCTATTTGGGGGTATATTTTTGTTACATTTAAATAAAAAATACATTCTGCCTTTTTGCTGCCAGATCATCCAAGCCAACTAATACATACAGTACTTAAAACAGAAAAATTAAACAAAAATCCAAATAAAATGTATGAGTACATTTACAGGAATAAGGAGAACACAACTAAAATGCTTGGTGAGATAATTATGCCTTGATAATCCCCCCCCCAGCAAAAAAAAAAAGAATGGCTTCCCAAGATAGGCCCAGTTTGACGAGGATTACTCTCTCTTTTTTGTCAGCCTGCTACTATCACAGCCCATGCCATGTGAAAGATTTCTCCAAACTTTAGGAGAGACATCTCAGGGAAAAAGGGAACTGCAATAGTACCTTTATTCAATTTCTTGTCTCTTGTAATTCTAGGATCTAAACCAAATGTGGCTCTATTGCTCTAAACACTGAAAGGTTGGAATGCAGTTTTAAAATACAATTATAAACAAGCCACTTTCTCTCTAACTTTAAACACATTATACATTGACTGAATGATCATTTATAATTTTCACCACATACTGCTTAACAGCAGATCACAGGATGATAACATGCAGCAGTTTTGCAGTTGCATTCAGCCCGCAAGATACTTCAGTGTGGGCTTTGAAGTCTCTCCAAAAGTTATAAAAAAACCCAGGAGGTACAAGTTCTGGGCATTAATTATCAACCAGTTTAGGGCTATGCCTCTTGAGTAATACAAAGACCTACCCTTACCAAATCCCATCCTTTTACATTTACAGGTAGTCCGTGACTTACGACCATTTGTTTAACAACCGTGCAAAGTTACAGTGGCGCTGAAAAAAGTGACTTACAACTGGTCCTTGCACTTATGATCATCGCAGCGTCCCAGCGGTCATATGATCAAAATACGGGTGCTTGGCAACCAACATGTATTTACGACAGTATCAGCATCCCGGGGTCAAGCAATCGCCATTTGCTACCTTCCCAGGGGGCTTCCAACAAGCAAAGTCAATGGGGGAAGGTGGATTCACTTAATGACCCCATGATTCACTTAACAGCCATGGCAAAAAGGTCATAAAATTGGGGGTGACTCACTTAACAACCACATCACTTAGTGAAGGAAGTTCCGGTCTCAGTTGTGGTTTTAAGTCGAGGACTACCTGTATTGGCATTTTAAAAAATAAGCAGGAAAACTGCATCTTCATAAGGATAATCCCAATATTATAATAAATAGTATCTTCAAGTACAGAAAAGCTAAAATTGTATGTATGTTCTAACCAATGTCGACTTTACAATATGGGAAATCTAGGGAAAAAAGGCTTTTCAGGTCCCATATGAAAATGCGCACAGACTACCCAGGGTTGCAGATCACAGTTTACCACACTATTGAAGAATGCTCTCCATTATGTTCCATTTTTATAAAGCAGAAGCTTTGAGATCAATTCAGCTTAAAGAGTATCTTAAGAAAAAAGCAGCACTCAAGAACACCTACCTCACAGCACTTAAACACCTATGTTCACAAAATATTTTCTACGCCAGCTACCCTTACTGACCAAGCATTCTTTTGTCATTTATGGTTGCTTAAGGTTATGGCAGAAGATCAGCCTGTAGTTCCTCATTGAAGAAGGGCAGAACTTGATCAGTATCTCAGCTATTAATCTGAAAAACACACAAAAGCATTTTGAGTATTTAATCTCTTTTAACAATGTGGTCCTATATACAATACTCACAAATAAACCTAAATTCAGTGGTAAGTAATATGTTTCCAGTTTGCAACATTTTGAGCTTCAAACACCTCATTCTGAATTCAAACACCTTGCTTCAAGTTTTGGACATCTGATACCAACAGAAGGGAATATATGTAGCTCAGGGTTGAACTGTGCAGTCCTTGGGGTTCTCTGAGCTTGGCTGTTTTCTTGCAAACATTTCGTTACCTAGCCAGGTAATGAAACGTTTGCAAGAAAACAACCAAGCTCAGAGAACCCCAAGGACTCCACAGTTTAGGGCTTTTGTTTGTGACCTTACTAAAAGTGTTCCAATGCTGTTTCAGCCATGCCAGAAAAGTTTCAACCTCAAGAATTGTTTCAGTCTTAAAATGAGGGCATTTCAAATTCAGAATTTTCCAGAATGGTCAACACAGCATCAGAACACTTCTAGTAAAGTTAGAGCAATATATTTTGCCCTCAGAATGGGATGTTTCATATTCAAAAACAAGAAGTAGCAGAAACTCTGCACTCATACAAAGTATGGCCCAAATGAAATATAAGAGTAGATTATGGCTTCATATTGTTGATTGATGTTAACTATGCAATCCAATGGCTCTCAGGGTGAGCGTTATATACAGGAGAAGACCGTACAACAAAGGCATATGTTTTCTCCTTGTACTTATTTTTGTAAGGAACAAAGAAACAGAAAGATTCAGGTTTAGATTTAACTAAGTTTTCATGATGTTCAAGCTAGAAATCATGCATTGTTCTAACTAGGATTAATTAATGAGCCAGAATGAGGTAACAAACCATAGTTTGGTAGTTCTACTAAAATTCAGAAACTCACGAGTAAGTTGAATAAAAACAATTGTCCAACAAGTGGTTATGTATTACTTACTGCACCCAGCAACTGTAAAATAAAATGTACTTATAATATATATTTTAAAATAGATATATTTATTAAAATATCCTCTTGTAATTTACCAAATACTCATTTTCATTTGCCTGTTGGTAGCTGCACTGGCCATTAAACAGACATGGTAAATCACAACCTGGGAGAAAGGTTTCCCTCCATTTTTCACACAACAGTACCTTTCACACGTAGGATGGCTTAGTCCTGGCTGCACAAAAGAAAAGGACCACTCTGTAATGAATTAGTTAAAATACAAGTATATCAACTCAACAAACAAGGTTATCCCATTTCATGAACTGTATTGCTTTACTCAATATCTATTGGTCAAAGCTTTAGGGAAACAACTGAACTATCACTATCCTATATTTATTCAGAGTAGAACACCGACCTATACCTATTCAGAAAGTTTCCACATACTCCAAAATAAATAGTATAAGACTGCAGTGATAATCACTAAGACAGACACACAGTTCACAGATCACAGTTCTTACAGTGTAGGAAAAAAGCATGTTTTGGAAAAAAAATGTGTATGTTTGTGCAGTTCTTCTAGATGTCATCCTAACACAGTTTGAAAGAAGACTGGAAGAAAGTTTATGTTACCTATTTAAAATACATGGAATATGTACTATTTCTAACAGTTTCTAGAGGACTAGCTATATTAGTCTTTTGCAGCAACAGCAATAAAGAGCCTTACAGTGTTGTAGTAAACACAATTATTCTTGTGCAAATATTCTAAAGCATTAAAGTTACTGCAATACAATACCTTTACTTTCCTATGGAAAGTAATCAACACCAGCTAGGTAACAATATGTTAATTTTATCACATTAACAATACTGATCATGTGCCATCAAGTCCAACTTTTGCTTCCATAGTGCTACAGGGAAAATCACTGCCTTCACAATTCTGATCTTGTAGGTACAAACATATCAAGGCATCTGAATATCTTTTCCAAGGCCTTCAGTACTACCCTACCAGGTGCTAGTTTGCAGAATATTTCTTGACTGCTTGTTTCTTTACAGTTGATGGTTGATTCTAAAAGGCAGAAGTTATCTACCACTTAAGCATCTTCATTGTCAATTCTAATGTTGGTTGCTATACCTGCTACAATTAGGTTGGCCTTTATATTTAATTTAGTCTAATTTTTTCACTGTGCTCCTTTCATTACTGGAGATTGAAGATCATTTGCATTTGCAGCTGAGTATCAGCATAGCATAGGTTATAGATGTTTCTACCTCCAACAAAGAGGACGCAGTGGCGTAGTGGCTTAATGATGCTGGAGCTGTCGGCCAGAAATTGTCGACACTCCAGCGCTTCAAGCCCGACTCCGCATGACGGAGCGAGCTCCTGTCATTCGTCCCTAGCTCCTGCCCACCTAGCAGTTTAAAAGCATACCATCTGCAAGTAGATAAATAGGTACTCCCATTTCGGTGGGAGGAAACACTGGCGGCGCTTTGTGTGGGGAGCAGAGCCAGTGCTGAAAGCGATTGGTGGAAAAGATCGACAGAGGTGAAAAATGCTGGACGTGATTGACAGAAAAAGATCGACAGAGGAAGAAAAGCCCAGATGAAACTGACTCCCTTGCAGCTGCTGCTGGCCAAGAGTAGTAACTGTTAAAATTGTTAGATAGGTAAATAAATTGTTAGATAGGTAAATAAGTAAATGTTGTGTTGTGAGCCTCCCAGAGTCCCCCATTATGAGGAGATGGGTGGAGATAAATCAAATAAATAAATAAATAAATAAATAAATTTAAAACTCATCTGCTTCCAATCCATCTTTTCTCAATATATTTTGGACATATAGATTTAACAAATAAGGGGGGATTATACAGCTTTTACTCACTTCTTGTGAGCTGGTCTGTTCTACTATATTCCATCTGGACTGTTGCTTCCTATCCTGTATATAAGTTTTGTATGAGGAGAATAAGATATTCTGGGATTCCAATTTTCCTAAGCGCATTCCATAGCTTGACATGGCCAACAAAATCATTATACAAGGTCTTTGTATAATCAACAAATCACATTTTACTTCTTTCTGGTATTCTTTGCCCTCCTCAGTTATCAGGCATGCATCAGCAATAATGTCTCATGTTCTTCCGCCTTTTCTAAAGCCAGTTTGAATATCTGGCATTTCCCTTTCCATGTAAGGCACTAATCTGTGTTGAATGATCCTAAATATTATTTTGCTAGCATGTGAAATTAAGGATACTATATGATAGTTTGCACACTTTGTTCAGTCTCCTTTCTTTGATACTGATATATAGACTGATCTCTTCCAATCTGTTGCACACTGTGTCATTTTCCAGATTGCTGGCATAGCAAATACTTTAAAGAATACTCTACTGATTCTTCTTCTGTTGCTTGCCATATTTTCATAGATATTCCATCAATTCATTTGGCCTTTTGACTTGGTAATGATTACAATGCTGATCTATTTTCATATACTCCTTCCATCTTTGAACTTCTTTGAAGCAGTTACTGTCTGTCCATTGGCATCCTTTAGCATACCAATTCAAGGTTGAAACCTCCTTCAGAGTTCAGAGGTTTTTGGAAGATTTTTCTTATTTTTCCATATCTGTTTCCATCTCCAATGTTTTTATCAATATCGCTGTAATACTACTTCTTGCCTCTTCTAAGAACTCTCTGAAATTCTTTGTTAAGATCCTTCCTGAGATGTTTGTCTTTCTTGGCTTTGTCTTCTCTTCTCTTTTTGGCGATTTCCACTGTTTGTTCTGACATCCAGTTTGCTTTCTTCTGTTTCTTGGTCTTTGGCAGTCTCTTTCCACATTCATCCTTAATAAATTCTCTGATTTCATTCCACAGTTTCTCTGGTTCCCTATCAGAGATTCAGGACTTCAAAGTCCTGATGTTCTCCTTGAAAATGTGGGTATAAGTTCAAGATCATATTGTGGCAATTAGCTGACTTTCTTCTTCCACTTGGAAGTTGCACATGAGCAGTCTGTGATCTGTTCCACAGCCCCTGGCAATGTCTTTGCTGTTATAACTGAATTCTTCCAGCTCCTTGTGTCAATAATATAGCAAATTTTATTTCTGTACTCCATCTGGTGATGTCCATGTATATAGGCACTGTTTTGGTTGAAGACTGCATTACAGTCCAACTAGGTTTTCCTTCTTAGTATTTCCAGCTTTGGCTTTCCAGTCTCCAACCAAAAACAGCATAGCTTATATGCAGGTTCTGTTGATTTCAGATTGAACTAGATCATAATGTGGAGAGTATGATAAATATGTTTTTCCTGCGACCATCAAAAATATTAATTACAGCTACTATACTCACAGTTATTTATTTCACATCATGTTCAACACAATTCATTAAACTTCATAAACTGTTGCATTATTCTTAAATACAGTATCCCATCTTGATGATGGGAAGGAAATTCTTACTTCAATAATTTATAGTACAGTTCTATGCAGATTTATTCAGTTTTTAAGCTCACTGAATCCAATGTAGTTTATTCCCTAATAAATGGAATTCCAATTAATGTACTGTAAATCAATTTGTATTTTTGTCAATAAAAATTCCATTAAACCTTTTGAAAAATAAGCAGTTAACCAAATTATTATCACTATAGCCAATTATATATTCTAGAATTGCCTAGAATGACCCTCTAATTCATTTCTGAAAGTCCAAGCAATTACAAGACCACAGACAAGTAGTCTAACTCTCCTTCCTTCCACTAATGTATTTCTAAATATTCATCCATTACAAAAAGCTCACATTTAATCAAGTTTTCTAAGTACATTTTAAAAGCTGCCCCCACAGGCCACAGTTTGCACACATATGGAAGTATGCAGGAACAAGAAGTTGTCAACCTTATTTCAATGCTCACACATTTTGTGCAGATAGAAAAGATTAGAGTGGTTTGCTTTAAGTCAATCTTATACTCAGTAAGGGAACCAGGATGGTATCATGGTTAAAGTGTTGGTCAGAGACTCAAATCCACCTTCAGCCATGGAAGCTGATTGGATAATTCTGGGCTGGTGAGTCACTCTGAGTCCAATCTACTTCACTAGATTGTTGTTAC